TTGAAAATTCTAGATAGACAGTCAAAAGAAGAGGAAAAGGCAGAAAAGCAAAGGCGACTGGCCAAATTAAAAGAAAAGGTACTCCGTCTATTTCATTTGTTTCTGAGACAGATGTTGCCATGCAGCCCAGGCTAGCTTTGAATGCACAAGTGTATGCCATCGTGCCCTGCTTTAATTTACCTTTACTTTTTAAACTTACTTCCTCAACCAATATATAACCATAATTTTTCACATTAATAAAGTACATATTTCCTCACTTATATAACATGTAATTATGTGATATTTAAGCATAGTCATCTCTTCAGATATTTATCATTTCTTTATAACAAAACCAGTCCAAATGGTTTCACCTAGCTCTTTGCAATCTACAGTCAAGAATATGTAATCACACCAGCAGCATAGCACACTTTCCCCCGGCTCCTTCCTCACTGTCCTGACTCCTTGACTTTAAGGAGATGGGCAGATCTACTCCACTTACATCTCATTATCTCCCTGCTTTATATTTCACACTTACATACCACAGATAACAACTTAATACTTTTTTAGCTATTTAGCTCTGCCATTTACTTTAGAAGCACTCTTTTCTGTCACCCTGAGTTTTCTGTCTTGTTCTCATCATCATTCTTTCTGAACCTCCATTCTGCATCTGTGTAGCTGTGGGCATTGCCTAGTTTCATAGGTAACAGCTCAGGATCAATGAGGTATCTCACTGACTTAACTGATGTTAATCTATTTTACATTTATTTACTGCTATCACACTAAGCTGTAGTCTATTTCTTTAATTAACACAGAAATGAAATAATAGAGAACTAGAAAAGGATAAATTAGCCGTTTACTAATTGATGTTAAGTGGTATAAGCACAGTTGGAGCTCATTTTGGTCACATTAGTTACTTCACGTTTGGGTAATAGCCAAGTACACTTTTTAACACTGCTTTGTGTCACTAAAGATCTCACTTAGTACGAATGTAGTTCATAGAAGTTAACTGATACTATTTTACTTCTGACCACAGGTTGAAAATAATGTCAGCAGAGACCCCTCTAGGCTTTATAGACCTACCAAAGGCTGGGAAGAACGAACCAAAAAGATAGGCCCATCAGGCTCCGGGCCACTGCTCCATATCCCACACAGGTGAGAAGGCAGTAGAAAGGGATCATTTATAAAGATTTATAAATGATTTATCTTATGCAGTTTTATGCATATTTATATCTTATGCAGTTTCTGGATATGTATTTTCATTAATAGATTGATAAAGCATATGTGTATTTTTAACCTTTTATTATATATGTATTGTATGTTGTGTTGTATGGTCATGTGAGTGCTATGGTTACTGTGGTGTACATGTGACTGTCAGGGCATAACTAGGGTTTGTGTCCCTTTTTCCACCATGTGGGTCTCAGGAATCCACCTTGGATTGTCAGGTTTGGTTGGAAGTGCCTTTACCCACAAAGCCATCTCACCAACCCTGTGTATATTTTAAGTTGTCATTTAATGAGTAGTTTTTTGTTGTTGTTTTGATCTTCCTGCATATTTATAATGGCTTTCCTCATTTTCTCTTTAGGGCCATTCCAAGCTGGAGACAAGGAATCTAGAGGGACTATGAGATAATGCAATTGCTGTTCACTTGACGAGAATGCTAGTACTGCTGTTTCAGGAGCCGGTGATTCACTTTGCTGTTTAAATGTTAGTAGTGTAGTCAGGTTGGTTTTTGTGCTGTGTATGAACTGAGAGGTTTGAAGTGTCAGTAGCACTGGCAGTATTTCGTGTCTACAGAGATGCTATATGTTGGCCTAGTGTTAATATGAATGCTATTTAAATAGGTTTATGTTACAAACATTATTCTATTTAAATACGTTTTATCATGGCTTAGGAAATAATTTGGGAGAATCAGTCTTTTTTAAGCCAAAATTTTGTAACTTTTATAACTTGGAAGTAACTAAGCTTGAGTAACAAAAACATAAAGTGTCTTTTTTTAAAGAGTTGTTTAATAACTTAGTACTTTTTCTAAGTTTAACAAAATGGTAATTTGTCAGTTGTTTCATTTTGTGTAATGAATATTTTGTATTTGATTAAAGCATGCTTTGTTTTCTATGGAGACTATTTTAAATAACCTCCCTTGCTACATGGACCTTACTCATATAGTGTGATGTCATTCTCCAGGTTTCCTGCAACTGTGTCAGATTTCCTTTTAGGCTTTCTGGATCCACAGATTTATAAAATTTTTGTGTCTTTGTATTCTACTGGCTGGTACAGTTTTCTTCTGCTTGCCCCACAGTAGGACCCTTCTTTCTTCTGAAACAAGCTAGTTTAAACAGTACACTGATGGTTTTGAACTGAAAGTAGAAAATTTTATAACGCAATTCAGTTTTCCATATTAAAACATTTTATGTCATCCTAACTTTGTAGGAGGAGGGCCTGGGGCTGATTGTTTGTCCTGACTGCCCAGAACTGAAATAACCACACAGAAACTATATTAATTAAAACACTTCTTGGCCCATTAGCTCTAGCTTGTTATTGGCTAACTCTTATATTAATTTAACCCATTTCTATTAATTTGTATATCCATGTGGCAGTGGCTTATCAGCAAAGATTCTAACGGTGTCTGTCTCAGGCAGAGGATCCATGGTGTCTCTCTGACTCCATCGTCCTTTCTCCCAGCACTCAATTCTGTCTTCCCTGCCTACCTAAGATCTGCCCTATCAACAGGCCAAGGCAGTTTCTTTATTCATTAACCAAGAAAAGCAACACACAGAAGGACCTCCCACACCATAACTTTAATTAGGTTTCAACTTATAAGGAAAGTACTATATACATAAAATACAGGAAATTTACTTTTTACAATTTTTATTTCTTCAAATTATAATTATAATTTGAGATATACAGAATGATCCAGAAATTACTAGGATTAGTGATCTAAATCTTTCCTTACATAAAGTTAATAGTTATATAAGTATATGGATTCAAAGTATTTAGATCCCAGATTTTGGAAAGAGATTCTAATTGTATAGTTATTGGTGCACAATAAGTATCCTTAACTGGAAATGCCCATTTTATTTCCTTGTTTTCCATACTCTTTTAAATAATCTGGAACAACTGAGGAGTATACACTACGAGGGAATTCAAGAGAACTGAATGCTACCTAAGATAGAGGAAAGCAAACCTTCCGTCGCCCTGTACTGCACACAAACGCACCTTTCAGCTGCCTGCATCAAAGCCAAGCGCGCTGATAGATGCGGTTCTTTACTGTTTCAGTCTTCAGTATCTTTGGTGCTGGTGTTTGGATTGAACCTACGGCCCCAAGCATGCCAACTATAGGCTCCACGGGCTTTACTTCCAGCCTTGTTTTTAATTGTGTGTGTGTGTAAGCATGATGTGTTTGGGGGCAGACCCACGTGTACTACAATATGCTGGGATATATCAAAGGACAACTTGGTGGAGTTGGTTCTCTCTTCCCACCTTTCTGTTGATCCCTAGGTTTGAACTCAGGTTTCTAAGCTTGTGCAACTGCTGAGTACCAAAAACTACCCAGGGTGCTTTGGGGTTGAGTGTTAAATAAGTGTATGTAACACTAACCCACAGATCATGTTCTCAAAGAAATTCATTTTCTACAATTAAAAGTACACCCAAATTTCTACTTACTTTCTTGGTTCTTAAAGGATCTTGTTTGGACCTAATCTTTTGTGGACTTCTTCGTCATGAATGCCTTCCAAGGCAACTTTAATTCTACTTTTTATGAATAAGGTTGTACTGAAACAGCCTTGCCCATTGGTTATACATTGTCTGTGGCTAATTATGAGTTATAGTGAAATGGCAACTGAAGGCCTGAATAGTTGTGACAGACTAGCTGATCGATAAAGCCTAAAATTTTATGGTCTTGCCTTCTGGGAAAAAACAACCCATGAATAAATGTCTGTGCAAGCATAAATCAACTTCACTACTTTGTTATACTTAATTTTTAAGAGGAAACCTATATCAGTATTTCTAAATTATCAACAATGTAGAAATAAAGTATAAGCAGAAATAATTATTACATTGTCGAGTTCCCTTTTATATAATCAATGTTTAATATTTAAGCAAAGTTCAAACCTTAATAAGCAAATACTTTTTTATATACTGCCTCCTTATCTTTGTATCTTCTGTTGTTTTTGTTTGCTTTTCATAAATTCTGCCTGGATAGCTTTATCTTCTGTCCCTATTATTGCCTTAGGTTTCTTAAAATGAGCCAATGTTTGATCATATGCTTTTAATCGTAACTATTCTTGAGTTCTGCCATACAGTGTCCATTGATGGGTCCATTTCAGGGGCCTTCAATGAACTGAACTGCTCTCTGCCAATTTGATATCTCCATTGTCAAAGCACCCGTACTCAATACACAGCATAGGTCCAAACGTTGTAAAATGAGAACCATCTGTGCATGCATTTTAAAATAATTCCAGATACTATAAGGAGGATTAGAAAAAGTGTCTGAATTTTCATAGTGTTGATAATTCTCTGGTAAAACGTCTGTCTCTAGTTCCCACCTGTAAATTTAGTTTACCGATTCATTCAGCTTAAAACTGTGGCCCTCCAAAAATGAGTCTTTGCAAAAGTAAGCTTTCAGAACTCAAACCCTTATGTTGTGTAGGGCCAGGATTTAAATTGTTTTGGTTAGCACACGAAGAAATGGATTTCAGTCTGTCATCTCTCTCTCTCTCTCTCTCTCTCTCTCTCTCTCTCTCTCTCTCTCTCACACACACACACACACACACACACACACACACACACACACACACAATCGTACGAAGGTATTTACGAACTGATTTTACGAGACGCAAGAAGGGTTTCTAAACTTTGAGACTGAGTAGGAACGATTGCCCAACCTAGGGAGAAGAGATGAGGTGCTCCACTGAGCTTTTCGGTGGTCGACAGTATGTGGCTCTCGCCGTCGCCGCGGTCCTGGCCGCGACCGCACACCGGTGGGAGCCGGCTAGTGTTGACTTGGCGCCTCCCGCCAACTGCTTCCGGGTCGCGGTGAGTGTCGCTTCCGGAGCAGCATGGCGGCCACAGAAGATGAGAGGCTGGCGAGCGGAGAGGGAGAGCGGCTGGATTTCCTGCGGGACAGGCACGTGCGGTTCTTCCAGCGCTGCCTCCAAGTCTTGCCGGAGCGCTATTCTTCCCTGGAGACCAGCAGGTAACTCAAGGCTGCCGCGGCGGGGCTGGCGATGGCGGCCGGATGCGCGCTGCGGACCGGCAACACAGCCGGGACCCGCGGGGCTGTGCTGCCGCCGGGGCGGCCCTAATCCCGCTGCTGGTCTTGTCCTTTCTGCTCTGGAGCCCGGGGTCCCTGCCACTCTGCACTTCCTAGGCCCCCTCCTGCCATCGCCGCTGGCTGCCCGCATCTACTCCCTGCGCCTTAGGAGATGAGTGGCCCTCCAAGCTCAGGACTTTTGGAATCTCTTGGTTCCGCCTCTTTTCACTTCCCATCCATTTTCTGTGAGCTTCCTTTCTCACTTCCTTAACATCCTGTAAGTCACTTTTGTTTCTTGACGTTTTCAAAAGCAGAATACAAAGCGTTTGCCCATCATCGTTCCTGTACCGCCCTTCCCCCTTAATTCTCAATTGACAGGCAGGGCAAACCTCTACTGAGATGTGATTAAAGTACTATCTCAAGGGATAGGCATGTGGCTCAGTGGTACAGCAACTTTCTAGCATGCTGCAGTCCATGGGTTAATCCCAGCATAAAAAAGGCCAAAACTTGTGCCCCGACCCGTGGGTAAGTCAACAGAGACCCTAGACGGGGAGTGAGCATGAAAAGGGACAGGAGACACAAGAGATGGAGACAAGACAGGATTCTGATCAAGTCTCGTTTATTCAAGGAAATAAGCAAGGTAAATATAGGGTAAGGGAAATGAGGAAGTTCTTGTGTAAATGGGTAACTAACTAGGCGACTTACTAGGCAACCTAACCATGGTCTAATGGTCAGGTGGAAAGTCCCTAACTGCAACATGCATAAAAGTCAGAATGTTCAGAACACAGGCATAATGGAGCAGTAACTCCTTGCAGAGTTAGTATTTGACAGATCAGAACAGCAGGAGAAGCCAAGCCAACAGGGTGGTGAAGCTGATCCAGGGAGCAAGCAGTAAGTCTCCCCCAAACTTGCATCATTGATAAAGTGAAGAGATGTTTAACTTGGCTATCAGTAATGATTTATGATTGCATTTTCAAAATCCCATTGTGTATGATGTATAACATTAGTGTAGTGCATGCTGGCCCTACACAGTATAATTTCTGCTCATACCCTAATAGTAAAAATTGTCTGAACTCATAATCCATTAAATACCTCTCATATAATCATAGCATTCCACATCAACCATTATATATTAGGGCATATGTAACGTCTAAGTGTATTTATTGACTGAGAGATACTGTCTCCACCTCTCTGTCTAGTACATTGCACTTGCACGGAATTTTTGAAGATTTATTACTTATGTGTATATATTTGTGTGTCTGTGTGTATGTATATGTATATGTATGTGTGTATGTATGTATGTATATGTATATTTGTGTTTTCAAGTGCCTGTGGAGGCCAGAAGAGGGTATTAGGTCCCCTAGAGGAGAGTCGCAGGTGGTTGTGAGCTGCCCAGTGTTGGTACTGGGGACTGAACTCAGGTTCAGTGCAAGAGCAGCAAGTGTGCTTAACTGCTGAGCCATCTCTCCAGCCCTTCCTATAGAACTTTGAAAATAATTTTTAGTTTTCTTGTGGTTCATTAATAACCTTTTTAAAAAGAAAGATAGCAATGTATTGGGTTTGTAGTGTTTTGTCCCCCACCCCCGTCTTTATTTCACTTTGGTTTTGAGGGGGTTTTTTTTGTATGTGTGTGTGTGATTCATGTTGATTTTAAGTTGCTCATGTTCTTCTTGCTGACTGATACAAAGCAGCCAAGTTTACTTATTTATTTACAGAAGCAAAGTCTTACTATCTAGTCCATGATGGCCTCAAGCTCACAGGCTGCTTCTTTCTCTTGAGTAAAGATTATAGGTGTGTGCAACCACACTGGCCAAAGTATCCAACTCTTGGCCTAATGTTGGATGGTATATTTAAATTAGACACCTATAATGTACCCCATTTCTGTTTCTTATACTGTGATCATTAGGGATTGTGTAACAGAGCTCTGGAAACAACCACCCCTTCCACTGAAACTTCTCCACGGCTGGCTGACTTCTGTGGTTGTGCGGAGACTGTTGCAGGTGTCGAGACAATTGGACTATATCTTGGCCTGTCTTCAGTCTCTTAATGGCCATTCCATACCCACCTCCATATCTGACCTAACGTCCTTGTTACCGATAGATAAAAACATTAGAAATGTATTGACAGACTTTCGCCAACCAAATTCTAAGAATGTCAGAAAATAAATGAGAGGGCTATAGAGAGATTTCCCTTACTCTTTAATATCTATCTAATATTTCCACATTATATTGAAAGGGGATTTAATTTATGACTTTCTTTTTCTGTTGCTTTAAAAACTCCAAACTCTAACTACATTGGAATACAGAATTTGGGGTAACCTGCCTAAATCTGTATTCCTGGGCCATGATTACTCATACTTGGCTCCAGAATAAACTGTCTTAACCCCTTTAAGGTGAGAATTATGGTTTTCATGTTCACCGAATAAATGATTTTTCCTTTTTAAATAGCACTGGCATCATGAAAATAAGCTTATTATTTACTATTTTACCAAAAAGCTGTGTTTTTACTAACAAAAACAGAATTTTCAAAACCTTTTTTTGGCAGTGATCACGAGAATTTGATTACAGTGAACTGATCAAGTGTGTCCTGTGTTGTGAGGAAACAGAAACAGTCTGATAGTATTTTGGAACCCCTGCTCTGTGTGAGCTAACCAGGCTCCCAGGCTTTGAAACCCTTGCTTTGCACCTTTCTAGAATAAACCCTTCCGACCTGGATTTCCGAGTGTCTTCAGCAATGAAGACGACTTTGTGTTGATCTTTGTTAGGGCTCTGTATAGAGCAAGTGCCTTCTTCTAAATGTTAAACGGGCAGCTCATACTTGGCTCCAGAATAAACTGTCTTAACCCCTTTAAGGTGAGAATTATGGTTTTCATGTTCACCGAATAAATGATTTTTCCTTTTTAAATAGCACTGGCATCATGAAAATAAGCATATTATTTACTGTTTTACCAAAAAGCTGGTAAAGCTCCAGGAAGAAACTAGATGGCACTGGAGAGATGGACCCACAGTGAAAAGTGTGTACTGTGCATCCACAGTGCGCAGTGCAGTTTCCAGCATCCACAGTGGTTCACTTAGAGGCTGCCTTCAACCCCATCTTCATGGCATCTGACAAGTTTGGCCTCCCTCCCCAGGCACCTACACTCCTGTGCACAAACCCACATATATGGGTACACACATACCCCTTGTTTACCATTCTAGCTGGTGCTGGTACCTGGGAGAATGGAACCCATAAAGGAAGCGGACCAAAGTTTCATGCAATAACCGACTTTATTCAGAGCCTCAAACAATTTTTACACTGAAGGTTAAGAGGAGTAGAGTATCCAGTCACAAGAGGAAGCTTCATGTGATGGGCAAGCTGCAAGTGGCAGAACTTGGTTCTCCACACAAGCATGTAAACAGATAACAATAGCCACTTGTAATGGGTAATCTGAAATAAACACTCCTTCCACTACACCTGGGAAGGGCATGAAAACATAATCCAAGAGCAGTTCTGTGTTTTCGAAGAAACTGAAATCACAGACTCACTGTCTTGTTTTCTTGGAGTTTTCTCACAAGCATTCAGAATTTTCCTCACATTACTCCGTTCTTGGACCCTTAATTCAACATAACCCACCCCCCATTCAAACATCCTTAATTTAAAAAAAGAAAATCTAACAGTGTATATATGTGAGCATGCACACATGGAGAGACATGAACACACAAATACATACATGCTTTTAGCCTTCAAGTGGCTCATAAACAAACTTCAGTGCGTTCTTGTACCCCACAGTTGAATAGGGTTCATGATTCCAAAAGTCCCTTTCTTAAAAATTAAAACAAGGGTTTGACTAGTCTCTTCACTTACTAAGAATAAATTGCCGGGGTTTTTTTTCTTTTGCTTTATTTTCCTACCTGACAAGGTGGAGGGATGTCATTTAAATTATTTTAAAAAGTAGAATGAGGGTTTTGTTAGTGGTGGTGGTGGTGGTTTTTGTTACTGTTTTCCATTTGGTAATTTGTTTTATTTTGTTTTGGGTTTAAGCCAGAAATTGTTCACTGGTTTGATAATTAAAGTGGTATTTTACTTTTTTCCCCCCTTTTAGGTTGACAATTGCGTTCTTTGCCCTCTCAGGCCTGGACATGTTGGATTCCTTAGATGTGGTGAACAAAGATGATATAATAGAATGGATTTATTCCTTGCAGGTTCTTCCCACAGAAGACAGTGAGTGAGTTTTTAGCATTTATATTTTTAGTATGATTAGCTGTTCTTGGTATGACATGTATGAGATTAGCAAATGATAGAATTTATTTGTATTCTTGGAGTACTTTATATGTCTTTATTTTTCTTGTAATTCACTACCCCTTTCTGTCCAGATATAACACATAACTGGTGTCATGGGAATTCCAAATATAGCAGCACACCGTGTTGTATATGCCTACACTAATGACTCACTATCTGTATTAATGTTTGTGTATGACTAGTCCTTTAGCATTTGCTCTGTTTTTTATTCTCAGTCATTGTTTATCAATCTTCAGAAAAATTCTCTTGGTCAATTGCTGTATTTCTTAACACTTAAAGTTTTTTTTTTTAATTAAATCTCCAAAATTCATAACTTCACGATTGACATGTTTTGAGAGAAGGAAGTACACAGTGTTTCTTCAATTTATAGAAAATATAAATGTAGTTCAAATGACCTGCAGTTGTGGCGTGTTACTCGGCAGGTAAAAAGTACTTGCTATCAAGCCCAGTGATCTGAGCTTGATCCCCAGGACTCAGCATGATAGCAGGAAAGAACCAGCTTTGCCAAGTCGTCTTCTGACCTTCACACATGTTGTGGCATGCATGTGGCCCTGCACACACATGTACACATACACACAAATACAAAAATGTGAAATACCACAGTTGTGGTAATTTGTAACTGACTTCAGAAAATTAACTAAAAATGCTTTGTTATAGTAACAAATTAGAAACAAAATAGGTGTTCATCAAAAATAAAATATTTAAGTAAACTATGACCCAGGAAAAAATGCTGTGTCATAGTGAAATGATAAAGGGAGACCTGTGTATATATTGACTAAGAATCTGCCTGTCGTATATGGTTAAATGATAAATCAGAAACATGTAGACTCAGCATGGTGATATGTACCTATAGTTCCAGCTAGTTAGGAACTTGAGGCAGGAGGATTGCTAGAGGACAGGAGTTGTGGACCAGCTTGGGAAATTCATGAGACCCTTTCATCTGGTCTCAAAAACAAATAAACAAATAAAACACAGATGTTTTAACATTTAAATCTGTAAAATTCCATGTAAAGAGAAAGCCCTTGACAGGATATATGGACATCTTTATGGAAGGGGAAGTAGATGGAGCAGAGGTAGGAAATAGCAGGATAAGATTATTTTCTAGTTATGTTCTTTGTTTGAATCATCTAATAAAAAAAGTTTCTGTTTTTAAATTAAGAAAAAAACTCTCTTCAAACAACGAAAATAAACAATTTGAAACTGGTCTATGTATAAATATTTATTTGCTAATAGAATAAATAGTATGCATTATTTAATATTTTATAATTTTTCAAAGCACAGCCAGATTGTTAGCAGATTTATTCTTCATCGGACCCATAAGAAACTGAGAGACAGAGTGGGGGTAACCAACTGCTTTCTGATTGAATTTTGAATTTTGGGCCACTTCACAGGAGGAAACACGTGCTTGGCACAGTAAATCTGTCCAGAGCTCAAAGGCCCCAGAGATGAACCTGTTGCTGTTCTGCTAAAATGATAATACCAAACTGCCCTGTAAATCTGTAATTCTCTCCCCATTTATTGGTACAGCTCTCAGACCTCATCAAAGAAGCTTCTTTATACAGTAGAGAGTGGTTAAAGTAAAACTCAAAACGCACGCGCGCGCTCACACACACACACACACACACACACACACACATACACACACACACACACACACACACACACACACGATAGGAACCCAGGGATTCCTGGGCATAGCAGACCTCTGCACTCACAAACTCACTCACAGTGGCTCTAGTTGCCTGAACAAGACCAGCACAAGATCAAGCAAGGTGATGTTCTAACATGAGAGAGGAGGGGCTCATAAGCTCTCACTCCTAACGGAGGAGCTTGAACAGCTGGTAACTTCTGGAAGAGGGACAGGACAGTGTTCTTTATAAAACTTTCTTTTGTGGATGGCCCCACATGCAAGACTGTATGGGCAGCACAAATTGGAGTTCAGGGGTTATTTAAAAAAAATGCTCAATATCCTTAGCCATACGAGAAATGAAAATCAAAATAACTCTGAGATTCTATCTTACACCTATAAGAATGGCCAAGATCAAAAACACTGATGACAGCTTATGCTGGAGAGGTTGTCAGGTAAAGAAAACACCCCTGCATTGCTGGTAGGAGTAGAAACTGATATAACCCCTTTGGATATCAGTATGGCAATTTCTCAGAAAATTAGGAAACAACCTTCCTCAAGACCCAGCATACCACTTTTGGGTATATATCCAAAGGATGCTTAATCATACCACAAGGACATGTGCTGAACTATGTTCATAGCAGCATTGTTTGTCATAGGCAGGACATGGAAACAACCTAAATGTCCCTCAACCGAAGAATGGATAAGAAAAACGTGACACACTTACACAATGGAGTGCTACACAGCAATAAACAAACAAACAAACAAATAAATAAATAATGACACCTTGAAATTTGCAGGCAAATGGGTGGAGCTAGAAAACATCATATTGAGTGAGGTAACCCAGACCCAGAAAGGCAGTTATCATATGTACCCGCTCATAAGTGTTTTTTAAACATAAAGAAAACCAGCATACAGATCACAATCCCAGAGAACCTAGACAACAATGAGGACCCTAAGAGAGACATTCACGGATCTAATCTACATGGGAAATAGAAAACAACAAGATCTCCTGAGTAAATTGGGAACATGGGGACCATGGGAGAGGGTTGAAGGGGAGGAAAAAGGAAGGGAGGGGAGGGGAGCAGAGGAAAATGTATAGCTAGATAAAATCAATTAAAAAAACAAATCAAGGAATAAAGGAAAAGTATGCATAGAAAAAAAAGACACCCCCCCCCCCAATACTAGTCAGTGGTGGTGCACACCTTTAATCCCAGCACTCAGGAGGTAGAGGCAGGTGGATGTCTGTGAGTTTGAGGCCGGCCTGGTCTACAGAGAAAGTTTCAGGACAGTCAGGGCTGAAGGGTGGGGGTGTGTGGACCAGAGTTGGTGGAGGAGGTAGGGAGATGGGTGGATCTGAGAATGGTCAGGGAGAAGAGTGAGTCATAAATATGCTCAGAATACATTGTAAAATTATCAAAGAGTGAAAAAACTGTCTGAGTCCTTGCACAGATGTTAAAAAGCTAGAGTTGGACTGACATGACATACTTTTGGGTCTCAGTGCTGCCTCAGTGCTCAGGTGCCATGTATACCATTTAAGGACATTGTAAATATGTAGTCAGCCACTTCACTCTGGGATTGCAAATGCTCTGCTGCCATCTTACTGTTGTGCGTTTAGACACTGGGAGCATTGGGTCCTTCTTCAGAAGAAGTATTTAGGTAGCAGGGGTCAGGTTGGGGATTATATTTTGCCTTCCCTGGTCACAGTGAGAGGCTACATCCCGTCATTCTGTAGATAAAGATAACGAGGTCCAGAGGCTTCATAGTTTGTTCATCATAACACAGTAATGATGCTAGAGGAACCACTAGGGTAGAGTTTGCTGTTCTCTGTTGATTCAGTGCAGTGTATGCGGTAACTCTGAGGCTATCAAGGCGGTAAGTATGTTAGCATTTTCCTTAGTAGAACCATGTGTGAAACATCAGTAAGAAGGTTGACTACTGAGAGGGAAAAACCTACTGGCTTGCTCCTTCCTTCCTTCCTTCCTTCCTCCCTCCCTCCCTCCCTCCCTCCCTCCCTCCCTCCCTCCCTCCTTCCTCCTTCCTTCCCTCCCTCCTTCCCTTCCTTCCTTTGTAGATTTTCTTCAAATTGTTCTTCCCTCTTTGCTGTCTCTGTCTTTTTTTTTCCTTTGAGACAAGCTCTCACTGTAACCTAGGCTATTAGAAGTTGCCATTTAGCCTGGCTACTCTCAAACTTGTCTTTCTGCCTCATCTTTCTAGAATTTTCAGGCCACCACCGTGCTTTATTTGCTACTTTAAAAGCAAAAAATAAATCAGCAATAACAGCAACCAGCCTTCTTCCAGCTGTAGTAAGTTTGACGTTTCATGTGGGCTAAGTTTGGCATATTTTATATTTAGGAAGTAAACAGTTTGCAAAACATACTGATCCAGCTCTTCAACCCACTCTGGTCTTGAGTCTGGAGGACTACTAGTCTTTGATGGCTCAGATCAGTTCTAATCTCCAGTCTCTTAAGAGAGTCCTTCTGCCATTTTTTAATCAGTTTCTGTCTTGTTCTTAAACTAGAAAATGAAAGCACCTAGCTTTGGATTTGTTTTGTTTCACATGTTAGTTTTTTGTTTGTTTTGCAAAGCTGTAGATTGAATTGCAGCCTGGTGCGTTCTAGGCAAGTTCTCTCCCATGTTCTACATCTCCAGTCTAGCTATTCAACTTCCAGTTTCTTTGGGTCTTTCTTGACATCTTTAACAAGGAATTGGGAACAATGTGACCTCCTAATAAGAAAGCCTTGTGTTTCTTGAGGCCTGCTAAGAATTATTTCTATTTTTATAAAGGTGCACATTTCAAAATAAAATTACCACATTCCTCACTGGAATTTTATCTGCTCAGTGCAGAGACCTAGCTTTTAAAATGAAACTCAAAACCATGAATTATATTAGCAGCCTGAGCTCACAGTGATGGTGGTACTGTAACATAAGCATAGCCTTCTGCTACATGTACCTAAATATAATTTGGAATGCATTTACCTTTTATAATACAGTTGTCTCTTAAAAGAGGAAATTAAAAGGTTCTTATGAAAATCAACTCCCTTTGTTAAAAGTCCATCTTTTTGGTTATTTTGTTGTTTGTTCTGTTTCCCAGGTTTAACACAAACTCCCAATTCTCTGTCCTTAGCCTCCCAAGAGCTAGGATTATAGCTGTTTTTTAAATTCTAAAATGTTTCTTAAATTCTCCTTAAACGTATGTATTTTGTAACTTTTGTGATGTGTGTGTGTGAGTGAACATGCACACGCCACAGCATCTATGGAGGTCAGAGGACAAGTTCATGCAGTGAACTCTCTCTCTCCTTCCAACTTTGTACGGGTTCTAGGGACCAAATTCAGGTCACGAGCCTTGCCTGGCAAGTGCCTTACCTGTGAACAGTGTTTTAAGACTACAAATAAGTCATCTTATTGCCTTAATATTGTTTTTAAAGACTGTCTAAATGTACTATGTTCTAATGCTTGTCATATAATTGGTCTTTATTTTGAACTTAATAACAAAACTACAGCCTTTAAAGTGAGGGGTTACTCAATCATCAGGCAAAAGTCAGTTCTAGTGTTTATTTTTCAAGTGGACATTCTAAACATGTTCTCTGATAATATAACCCAAATACTTTATCATCAATGCATTTGCATAGTCCATGAACAAATTCTTATGCTTGTTGTTATATATATATTATATGCAACATAATACATATGTTATTGTTTTTATTGAGCTATATATTTTTCTCCACTCTCCTCCCTTCCTCTTCCCTCCCCTTCAACCCTCTCCCATGGTCCCCATGCTCCCAGTTTACTCAGGAGATCTTGTCTTTTTCTACTTTCCACACTTTTCATTTTTCTTATGAACTTGGAATCTTCTGCTCTTTTGTTACCTGTTACCTTTGAAATTGGCACCACAAAAGTAGAGGGTCCACTAACCAAGATATTTGAACTTAAAATATGACTATCTAGGCTTCATATTCATGGTTTTCATGTCAGCTTGAGATAGGACCAAGATATCCCTACGTCTTATCAAGTTCTGTATAAAACTGGTTCTAGTGGGTAGACTGTATGCAATGAACTTTGTTTGGCTGATACTAACTATAAACGCTAGATGGTGCTGTTGAATAGAGCTTCAGCTTCACATGGACTATATTTGGAGTGATGAGTTTGGAGCGAATTGCAATTATCCTTGTATGTAATGAAGTGGGAAGTTTCTAGACTTATAAAAGAAAAGCCAGTAGCAAACAATCTTAATGAGAACTAGAAAAGAATGCTCAGTGAACTTAAAAATGGTAAATATGTTCCCTCATTGAACATCATTTCCACAATTTGGTACTTAAGTGTATATCTGATAAACCAGTTTGATAAGTAAATAATCCATCTTAGGCACTAGGTTTAATGTTAGTAAATGCCATGAAAAGTAAGCTTTTGTTTACTTTGAAACTATTTTTTTCAGTCTAGTTTCATAGTCCACGAGCAGTTCAGCAGAGGGAAGAAAGACTAACTACATTGTCTTTCCCTTGTTGTGTCTGTCTCTGAAGACTAACTAGATTTTCATGGTGACAGTGTACGCTCTTATTTGGAAAAAAAGAAAGGACACTTTTTACTTTGATGATATTTTCCTTTTAAAAAAAAGTTTGCAAAAGTGGGGGAGGGGCTCTTCATTTTTTCTTGTTTCACTTTTGATAATATTTAATTGATCAATTTTAAATAGTTACTCTTGGGTGCTGGAGAGATGGCTCAGTGGTTAAGAGCATTGCCTGCTCTTCCAAAGGTCCAGAGTTCAGTTCCCAGCAACCACATGGTGGCTCACAACCATCTGTAATGATGTCTGGTGCCTTCTTCTGGCCTGTAGGCATACAAGCAGACAGAATACTGTATACATAATAAATAAATAAATAAATAAATAAATAAATAAATAAAATAGTTACTCTTTATTAAGCCATACATATCCCTTACCCCTTGTAAGACTCCTGCAGCATACTGCTTGCGGTGTGTTGCTGTTTCAGTTAGGAAGTGGAAGAGATTTCTGGAGTGTGCTTGTGGTCTCATCACCTGGGGGCACAGACAGGAGAATCTGGTGCTCGGCCTTGGCTATGTAACAGTTTGAAGGCCATCTTGAGCTACGTGAGACTGTCTCAGGCAGACAGACAGACAGACAGAAAAGGAAACCAACTTAGACAGGTTGTTACTTGCATATAGAGCACAAGTACTAGGAAGAAAAGGTTGTGATTTGAGTCTGGTTCCTGTGTCCATGCTAAAGCCCCTAATGATAGTACTTTTGAGCGTCAGTTTTCTTGTTGTTGCTTCTCAGAAGTTACGGATTTAACCCAACTCAAACTAAGAAGCAGATGTGTATTCACTTTCTCTAAGGAAGTGATATTTTACTCAAGCATTTTTTTTGAACCCAGACTATATGTATGCAAAACAACTAACTAGGTTGTCCTAAGTTGTCAGGGGGCTCTAGAACTTCCTAATAAGGGTATAGACCTAATCTCAAAATATACATAGAGCAGAAGTGGAAGTGGAATCAGATTTTTCTAGCAAAGTATCAACAAGTTGGTAGCTTGGAAGGAGATCTTTAAGGGTAGGGGAGAGGAATTGAAATCAAGTTGTCTAGAGAAAGACATGTTGACACTGTTTACCCACCTTGAAAGTGCTTAAAACAAAGTCATGATGAAAGGAAAAGGTGTTGTAGGGCATATAGAATTCTACTTAACTATCCCAAAGATTCCTGCTGATTGATTTTTTTCAGTTAGACATTAGGTACTGCTCTAGGACTTTGTGGATGATAGTTATACTAATCACCTGATCTTAAAATGCAGCGTAGCAGCATATCCATAGACTGTTCCAAATACACATCATCTCTTTGTGTGTCTGTGTGTGTGTATATATATACATATATATACATCCATATACATGCATGTGTATGTATGTGTTTGTGTGTGTATATTTAGTACTGTTACATGAACAGCAGGTTAGTCAGAAAATGTCTTGAAAAGCTGAAGAGAAAGCTAGAGGCACTCTAATCTTGAAAAGAATTTGAGTGCTAGCTGCTCTTTGTGAGAGTTTCGTGTGTAAGGAACTGTAGGTGAGGCCTTAGGAGTCAAGGCGAGCTCCTGGTTAATGGACTGCAGTGACACTGAGACTTTAGTTGCACAGTGACAGGGCTGGGAGGCAGACTGTTTTAGAGCCTCCAGTAAGTAAGGTGCTGCTGTGAAGGCTTTGATTGGACTTGTGATCATCTGTCACAGTAAGGTGATATTTAAATATGTGTCTTAAGGTCCTACAGTTGTGGTGACAGTGACTCATAGAGGCTGGAGCTCCCCCTGGTCCTGTCATCCCACACAGCTGCTATTTTGCTTATTCCCTTCAGGCTGTTAAGGGTGCACCATTTCCTAATTATAAGCATCACACATATGTTTTGTATCCTTTGTTTTCTTGTGCTCAGATACAGATTTCCATCCTGTTATTTAACTTTGCTAATAATTACTTTCAAAATTAGCATAATGTGGCCTTTAGTAGGCACACCATGCTATCTTAAACATTTTAGATGTCTCTGTCACTTGTAAACTTTACTGTCATGCTACACTGGCTACTTGTGTGCGCAAGACCTTACTCATGAAAGTCCTGAAGTACATTCTGGAATGGATTGTCACTTAGACATAGAGTATGGTTTGGTTACTCTTTAACAAAGCTTAAATGGCTTACTGGCTTTAGTCTTACCAAAAATAAGGCACAGTCACTAAATTTTCTGCCACCATTAGTACTGCCAATAGAGAGAAATGATTGATGGAAAGTTTTCAATTTAGTATTTTCTTATTTCTGCAAAGATTTATAAGCTACCACTGACTGTTTCAAAGGAGCAAAGGCTGAGCAAAGTGATTTCCTATTAGGAAGGAACAGAATATGGATGTTAGGATTTGGCTGTCCACCCGTCATAAGAGATTAAAAGTTCACCTTTTTTAAACTTTTTAAAACCATCTTGAGTTTTCATTAGCTGGCAGTTCTGGTGCTAATACATTCTTGCCTTTTACACCTGTCATAGTGTTTTTCTAACAGCCATTAAGCTCATAATTATAGACGTGTTTTTCAGGTCTCACCTTGTATCCTATGTATATTTGGAAAATGGAAAACTTGATAGAAAAAAGATAGAAAAACAAAATGATAAGTGTAGTTTGGGTAGAGACCAAGTGTGAATTTAAGTATTCTACATAAGAACACAGATTTAAGGGGTTGGAGAGATGGCTCAGCGGTTGGGAGCACTGATTGCTCTTCCAGAGGACCCGGGTTCAATTCCCAGCGCCCGCATGGCAGCTCACAACTGTCTGAAAATCCAGTTCCAGGGGATCTGACACCCTCACACCAGTGCACATAAAATAAAAATAAATAAATCATTAAAAAAATTTAAAAAAAAAAAGAACACAGATTTAAGTCTGAAATATGAATATGCATTTTCTCTAGGGCGATAGAACAGTTTCCACCTTTAGCTTACTTGTGTATCAAGAAGCAGTGAGTCACAGCGGATTCTAGAGCCTGTTGTGTGAGGTGTCACCTCCAGTGTGTCACTTAACCTCTAGACTTGTTTTCTGATGAGTTAACATTATCTCACATAGAAATGGAGACAGTGAGCCTTAGTATGTAAGAGGACTTGCTGTGAATACAAGAGTTCAACCCCTAGCACCCACACAAAAGCCACCTATGGCTTTGCATGCCGGTGACCCAGCTGTGGAGGTTAGAGGCTAGCTAGCCTAGCGGGAACAATGAGCTTCTGGGTCAGTGAGATCCTGTCTTAGATAGAAGGTGAGGAGCAGTGGAGGAAGATCCTAGTGTCCTCTTCTGGTTTCTGCATGTGCACACAGCCATGGACACCCTCACCTGCATGCACCATATGTTCATACAGAGAAAATGAAGCTTTGGTACAATACTGTTACTGAACGATTGTGTGATTAAACTGCTTTGTGCTCTATATAGAAACAGCGTATTTTAAGTAAGCACATACTTTGTTTTCTAGGGTCAAATCTAAGTCGCTGTGGTTTCCGAGGCTCTTCATACCTGGGTATTCCATTCAATCCATCAAAGGTTAGTTGTCTATGGGTTGGAACATGGGAAAGGAACATAACGAGAGTTTAGTGAGAAAGCAGATGAAGACGTTTAGAAAGAACTGAGCTTCTAGCTTCAGTGTGTTCAATGGAAACAAAATGGCTTAAGCGAAGCCTTTAGCCCCTTTTCTAGAGGTGTTTTTATTTCTTTTGGTACATATATATGCAGAAATTTATGTTGTCACCAAAAATTATCTTATGATGCGTGTGTAGAAGTTATTAGTGATTTCCTGGAGAAACTGGAACTGCGGTGCTCAGGTGCTTTATGTGAAGCCAGTGGCCTTCCCTGTGTTGCTGGCCTTTTGTTTCTCAGGAGAGTGAGAGCTGTTCTCCAGGAAGTGACTGGGGACCCGGCTAATAACTTTTATAGCCGGAAGCTGAGCTTCCCAAGCATTTTGGGCAGAGGCTTTTGAACCAGCCCATGTCAGTTACAAAGAAGTGCTAATGAAGCGGAGAAGAACTTCTTCAAAGAAGCAGCCGGCCCAGAGCAAGGACTGGATGTTCTACTTGTGCCCAAAATTACCAAGTTTTTTTTTTTAATGTGGAAAGTGGAGAAATTTTTTTTTCCTTCCTCTTCTTTCCATGTGATGTATGGTTAGAACTCAGGACCTCAAGTATCCTAGGCTCTACTAACTGATCCATGTCCCTACCCCTTTTCACCCCTTCCCAAGCAGGTCTCACAAGCTGGGTGCTTGGAAGCTCATACCTGTGATCCCCAGCACCTGAGAACCCGAGATAGGAGGCCCTATAATGAATTTGAGGCTAACCTGAACTCTATACTCAGTTCTATGCCAGCCTTGGCTGCAAAGTCAAAAACGTGCCTAAGAAATGAGGAACAAACATAAAAGAGACTTTTCCTCGATGGGTTCGTCTGCTTATAGTATGGTTGTCAGTCAGTATAGGATTACTCTTGAGAATTTCAAGGATCATGTACTGTTGCATGCAGGATGAGAAACTCCCAGCTATTCATACGTTGATTCAAGATTTTGGAATAAGTAGCAGTGATTATAGCGATGACAAGATTTGATTGAGATTGTTTCATCTTTTCCCCCTCACTTATACTGTGGACAACCTTCTCTGAATTGGGGTCAGGTGACATCAGCAAGATGTCTCCAGTCGAGTGCCTTGGTAACAGGTATAATAAAAGATTTATAAAATGTGTTTCTTCTTTTTATACATATATTTTCCAATTTAAGCCAACCTTGAATAAAGGAAGACTCTCTGGTTAGTCATAATGAGAAGAATTATCTATCTTCTTGTAGGCAGTAATATTTATTGTGTAGTAGAAGTCCATGTGCAGATAGATGTAAGCTGTACTTATTGGTATAAAATAGTGATTTAATTGCATTTTCATAAGATAATCTCTACCTCTAGGTATTTCTTACTATATTTTTAAAATTTATTTTGAGATGGAGTCTTGTAATATTGCCCAAGTGGACCCTAAAATCCTGGGCTTAAGCCTCACAAGTAGCTGGCTCTGTCAGTGTGCACCATTGCACCTGATCTCTGCACAGTCTAGAAATAATCTCCCTTACTGCAATGCTTGTTGTTGGTTCACAAGTTCTTGTGAAACCCAGTTTCGGCCCTCAGTGTACCTGGCCTGTCCCCTCCGAGGAGCCAGGTCTCACTGTGGATGGCCTTCCTCTGAATCTCCATGGTAGCAGGAGTTAGAGACTCAAGATGTAATCACATAGGCCTATGAAAGCTGTCATAGTGCTTGGAGGCATAGGGTCTATGGACACACAGACCTGAGGAAGCATGAAGAGATTTTCTAGTATCATATAGAAATAAAACAGCTTTATCACTTTTTTTCTTTCAGAAACTATTGAAATTATCTGTGCACCTTTGACATCCTAATATGTGTAGAATTCGACAGGCCATAGACACTCATGGATCCACCCAACTTACACTTTCTACTTAAATTTGCATCATAAATCCTATACTCTGTTAAATTATGTATTGCCTTAATATCCCAGGATTTTCCTTTTCTGCTTCAATTTTATTTCCTTGTCCCTGTCTGTACCGTCCCAGGCCTCTGCTGTGCGGGAAAGAGGCCCTGTTTAAATCTCTGTAGTACTGTAGCTCCTTCCTGATCACTCGACTGACCGACTCTGATTGCAGTTATGTGCTCAGATATCTCTTCATCTCTTAAAGGTCAAGGTTTACATTTAATTCGTATTTGGATTCCCTACCATTCTTTTAAAAAGCAGGTGTTTGGTTTAAATACTGAAAAATGAGACCTACTGTGGGTATTCCAAGAAGGCCATTGTAAATGTGAATGAAATAGAATCGTTAGAGAATTGGAGCTCGAACCCTGAGGAGCCTTCAAAGGTGTTAAGAGGAAAGGCTGGTTTGGTGGTAGTGAGACCGTATGAAAGAGCTGTGTGTGAGGGCAGCTCCGTGGGAGGCTTCAGAGTTAAAGGTATTGAGTGTCATTTGCTCTGTGAAGCAGCACAGGTCATTGTGCAAGAAAATTGTGGGATTAAGTTGCTAAATCTTTCATCACACATAGAAACCTTATTGGCTAGATTCCTTATATAAGGCTTAAATGTGGTCTATTTCTGGGATTGTGTGACCTTGTTTCATATTATACAGTTGAAGTCTTTACATTTCCTTCTTATATGATGAATACTAATGTTTATTAGAGGTTGAAATAATTAAACTTGATGACGGTAGACAGATAAGGTTATGGTGGTGACTATTACTGTGGTATTTAATTTAGGTGTGTACCATATACTGTAACTTTTGTTTTCTTTTGTTTTCTTTTTTAAGTTCCAGGAGTTAAACCCACAGCCTCAACACACACTGGGCAAACACTTTATCCCTGAGTGGTATTCCCAGCCCAAATTTTACTTCTTATACATTTTTTGGAATAAATTATTGAATGAGTTTCCAACTTTATAAGACATAATTTTTATAAATGGTAGTCTTAAACTAAGAAAGTTTCAAATATGTGGTTTATTTAAATGTCAAACTACTTTCATAAAGTTGGAGGATTATAAGATGTTGAAAATTATGTAGCATGTAAGAAGACATATTAAGACGTGTAAAAGCTGGGACTTTATTCCTTAGACAGATACCTGTACACGTTGGTGTTAGGAAGTAACACCATGCCAAACCTCATTTGTGAAATAAAATTTAAAATTCCTGTTAACATATTAATATATTAATTAACACATTAATTTTGAATTTAGAGCCCTGGAACAGCTCATCCGTATGACAGTGGACACATAGCAATGACCTACACTGGCCTTTCATGTTTAATTATTCTTGGAGATGACTTAAGCCGAGTAGATAAAGAAGCTTGCTTAGCAGGCTTGAGAGCACTGCAGCTTGAAGATGGGAGGTATGAACTAGTCATTGTTATTTTTATGTTTACTGTAGTAGACTTTGAGAGGGTGATATTCCTTTTGTTGTTGTTTTGTTTTGTTCTTTTGTTTTTTCGAGGCAGGATTTCTTTGTAGCTTTGGAACCTGTCCTGAGACTAGCTCTTGAACTCACAGAAATCCACCTGCCTCTGCCCCCTGAGTGCTGGGATTAAAGACGTGTGCCACCGCTCAGCTTAGAGAATAATGTTCTCTTAATAGCACCATCCAGGACTAGAAATACAGCTCAAGGGTTAGTGCATAACTAGTGTGGGAAGGTCCTGGATTAGACGTCCAGTCACAACGGAAAAGAGCCATAAAGCATTTTTATATATAGTTAAGTGCTTAATGCAAAAAGTTTCTCATTTTATATGAACAAAAATAAAGCTCACTTTCTAGTAGAACTGTTTTCTTTTTTTAATTTACTTTCTGAATGAGACAAATATTTTGAAATAAGCTATTTAGTTGAGTATCCTTGAAAGTAATGATGGTAGAGAAAGGAATGCACTTTAAATGTTATATTCAAAGTGAGGTGGCTTGATCTCCAGTTTATTGAGGGACATATTCAAGCGATAGAGAAGTTAATACTCACAGATACTTGATGGTTTATGTAAGAGTTTAAGTCACAAACTGTTGTAAATTGTTAATGTAATGAAACAGTAGCCTTAATCTCCTATCAAAAGACTTTGCAATCAGTTTGCTGCTGTGTTATGTCTCTGCCCTGTACACTATGATTCTTATTTTCTTGTCTCTGTTGTCAGAACACTGCTCTTGATGAAGAAAAAGTTACTGTAGACATAGTGAATGGACATTTGGGAATCCAGTGTTGTCCCGGATCACTGCCATAAAGAGGAAAGGAACACAGAATACTACCTCTTTGAAACTAAGTGTATAATGAATCACAAGATAATAAATAGGTCAATTAATCGTTATCTCTATGTACATTTTGGAGACATTTCACATAATAAAATGGATCTAGGAGTTTTTTACTACAAAATAATATGTGTGCGGTTTTACCTGCTACTTTTTCTGCTGCCCTTGTTGAGAGTAAACAGCATAGTCTGAATAGTAGTATCTGGCAGCGACATTATGGTGAACATAAATGATTTAGGGTCATTTTATACCTAAATATGTAGAATTTGATGGGAGTAAAGTTAGCAAGAGGAGTTTCTGTGAGTAAGGACACAGGGCATGTGTTTCTGCTTGAGGTGAATGGTCTTGATGCAGTTTCATGTCCTTGTTTTCAGTTTCTGTGCTGTCCCTGAAGGCAGTGAGAATGACATGAGGTTTGTGTACTGCGCTTCCTGTATCTGCTACATGCTCAACAACTGGTCAGGCATGGATATGAAGAAAGCGATCAGCTACATTAGGAGGAGTATGGTGAGTTATGTTCATACAAGTGGACTGGTTCAGGCTATTGCTGGTATAATGTATGCCTCATTTCTTTATCAAGAATTAAAAATAACAGTCATAAGATTAGTTTTTTGGTGGGTTGTTTCTCAGAACACCATATGGAAATAATCTCAACAAGCATATTGAATTCTTGACCATTAAAATTTGTGCTTACATGTGTTTTCTAATCTAATTTTAAAGACAATAACTGGAAATGCTCCTCTCACGTAATGTAATTTATTCTAGCAGTGGTAGGGAGAGCTTAGCTGCCGCCAGTATCACTCTGCTCCTGCGTCTTCTGAATAAACCAGAGGCAGCAGAGTTGATCTCCAGGCTTATCACTTCCCAACCATGAGAGCTTGCAATTTACAGATGACAGAGATTTCTTAAGCCTATTAAGGCTAATTAATTCAACCTCTAGCTGATCTGTTACAATCTCACAATGGAATGTCTGAGCTCTTAGAGGAGTGGAATTGATTTAAGTATACGCCATGCAACCATGCATTTCTTGAAGGAGCCCTAGTTCTTATTGAAGGACATTATTGAAAAACAAAAATATGGGTTCTTATTAGCATTAGATATCATTGCTTCTAGGCCTTTCTCATCAAGCACAGGTAGGAAAGTTGTATATGCATAGATACTAAGATACTTTTACATACACATACAGACATAGTTATATTAAGAACTATGAGTTTGTACAGATAAGCCCAACTTTCAGTTTACTATATAGGATCTATTTATTTTCCCTCTTTGATAAGTTATTTATTTCATCTACAGTTAGATATATTCATTTCTGTTTGAATTCCTCTTGTAGGTATTCATTCCATTTAGACACTCCATTCCTCCAAAATGTTGTTAATCTTTATTTATTTGCATGTAATATTATTTACTTAGTATGTGTAGCTTAACCTGTTTCTGTATGTCAGAACTACTGAAGAAAAAACTGAAAGAAGTGTAACTTCTTACCCTCCTTTATCTCCACTCTTTCTTAACCCCCAAACCTACCATCTTGTTCCTATTAACTTTATAGATAACATTCTCATTATTTTCTCACTTATCTTTCCTGTATTTCTGTTTGATAAGAAGATCCATATGCCTTTTATTTCTCCTTATTAAAACGATAACCCACTTCTGGTACCTTAATCTGTATTAGACAGATAAGTATATCAGATGATAGTTTGTTACATAGGCCGTGTTCTGGCTGGCCCAACACTGGGTGTCTCCTGATGGGGAGGCCATGAATCTGGTAGTTGTTCAGTGCCTTAAGGCTTTGGAATCCCAGAGAAGTAGATTTTAATAACAGCGAAGTAATGCCTTAACAACAGGATAAACTTGCCAGTGAGAGTGAGGGCAAGCAGGCAGAAAGCAAAAGCGTCTTTCTTTCATGTCTTTTTATGTGGGCTGCCACCAGAGGTGTGGACCAGATTTAGGGCTGGTCTTCTGACCTCAAATGATCCAGATTTAGGATGGGTCTTCTCACCTTGAATAATCCAACCAAGAAAAACCCCTCACAGGCGTGCTGAGTTGTGTGAGTTTTATTTGTCGATTAGTCAAATTGATAACCAAGATTAGCCATCACAAGTCCACCCCTTCTCAATTTAACACATAATCATATCTATTTATGAAAACCATAACCAGATCATAATTATGTCTAACATATAACTATTCCACGTAGATGGAAACACATCATTTGTTTAACTAGGTCGTAACTTGAATGAAATGAGATTAGAGTTTTCCTCATCCTTTTTCTTACAGTTTTACATTACTTAAATGTGTGACTATAGCAGTCTCTTCTAAAATTCTTTATTTACAACCATTCTGTGTAGAGAGTATCTATTTTTCCACTTACAAATAGTGCTGTCATTGATAACGTTCTGCATATTTTTTATATATCACAGATATGCCTTTATGTAAATTGTTTGGTCAAAAACTAAGTGCATATGCAACTTCAGGAGCTATATTTTGTTTTCTATCCCCCAAGAGATGGACAAGATGGATCATCCTGTGAGTAGTACTCTGGTTACTGCACAGCTCACTGCCTTTAAAATGTACCCAGTAAGCCTGTTTCTTCTTTAGGAAAAAGAAACAAACTTAAAAAGATAGCTGGGCAGTGGTGGTGCATGCCTTTAACCCCAGCACTTGGGAGACAGAGGCAAGCAGATCTCAGTGAGTTCAAGGCTAGCCTGGTCTACACATCTAGTTCTAGGACAGCCAGGACTGTTACACAGAGAAACTCTGTCGGGGTGGGGGGAGGATGAGCAAAATTGTATTCTAACCCCCGTAGGAGAGTAGTTTTTTTCCACATAGCCTTACCAGTAAAATGTTACACTTCTTTAAAAATCCTTCTCCTCCCCTCCCCTCCCCTCCTCTCTGCTTCTTTCCTTTGTCTTTATCTTGTCATATTCCACCTACCCACGTCCAGCGTTAGAAACTAGATCTTTCTGCTGACTTTCTCTATTTCAGTTTTATTTGTGTTCTTTCATTACAACCACTTTCTCTCTGACGTTTTTACTTCTTTTGATAGTGATCATAGTAGTGTAAGATCAAGCCCAGGGCCAGGTACATTCTAAGCAAGCACTCTATCTACCACTGAAGCTCTGTCTCTCTCTTCTCCACTGTTACCTCCATATGTCAGTTTTATATTCTTAATTGTTTTCTGCCTTTATTTGATTTAGATTTATTTGTAAGCTTGTGTGTGTCAGGGTGGGGAGCAGGTTATGAACATAGAAGCACAAGGTAGAGGTCAAAGTCCCCCTGAAGCTGGACTTAGAGATGGTTGAGCCTCCTCAGCGTGGGTGCTGGGAACTGAACTTGAGTCTTGTCTCCAAGAGCAGTGTATGCTCTTAACCACTGGTCCATCTTTCTAGCCTCTCTGTTTCCCTCTTTGTATTTTCATTTTAAAAATTGCTTTTTAGGGGTCGTATAATTTAACCCCTTTTTTGCTTTGGTTTGTTGGGGTTTTTGTTTGTATGTTTTTTTGAGACAGAGTACTCTGTAACCCCGACTGTCCTGGAACTTACTGTTTAGATCAGGCTAACTTCAAACTCAAAGAGATCTGCCTGCCTCTGCCACCTCAGTTCTGAGGTTAAAGAACTGCACTACCACAACTGGCTAATCTTCAGACACCTGGCTAATCTCTTTGTTACTTTTCTTTTTCTTTAAACCATTGGCTTTTATATGGGTTCAGCACCTGGCACACAGGTACTTTACAGACAGAACCATTTCCCCAGCTCTCTGTTTTTAATGTTGAATTTTCTTTTCCTATTCCTACTGTTTGTTTGAGGATGTGCAGTTGAGTTTTGGGTGCTGGGTTAAATTTCCTTATTTCCTTCTGTCTTTGTGACTGTTTCTTTTCGGTGCAGGCTGGTTTTCATATACTGAGAAGTAGTGTTTCATTCCATTTACTTTGTTTTCATCTAACAGTAACTAGATAGATTTAGTTTAATAGAGTTTTTTTTTCTCTTAAAAGTACATAGAACTCAATGTTGCCCATTTTTCTTTTTTTATATTTATTTTGTGTGTGTGTGTGTATGTGTGTGTGTGTGTGTGTGTGTATACCATGTGTGTGCAGAAACCCACAGAGGTCAGAAGAACCAGCAAATACCCCAGAACTGGAGTTACAGATGGTTGTGAACCACTATATGGGTGCTAGGAACTGAACCTTGGTCTTCTCCAAGGGCAGTGAGTTCTGTGAATCACAGAGCTGTCTTTCCAGCCCCAGACCGTCCTTTTTCTCCTTGCAACAAAGCGTGATTTCTTTGAGTGATTTGATGGTGGGGAAATGTGGTTTGTTCTGTGATTCTCCTGGCAGAAAGGAAATCTTCCCTTTGTTTCTCAGGCCTCTAAATTCTTGAGTTATTCTTTATTACCCGATGCTCAAATGAGCCATTTGAGCACTGCCAACTTGACTTGCACACTCTTTCTGACTGCTAGTATAGCCATCTTTATCCCAACAGCCCACAGAGATAATAAATAACTTTGCTAACTAAAGGGAGGCAGTAACTCCTTATTAGCAAAGTTTGAAGAAGATGGCACATAATTGGTCGTGATCATGATGCACAATATATAAAAAGGTTTATGGACTAAGAGCTTGCATATTACACAGTTAGTGTACTGCATTTACAAGGGTTTGAATCTTTTATTATTATTTAAACTGGCAACTGGGTTTCATGTGTACTGAGGCTGAGCAAAGTCAAGACTGCCTATATTTTTACTCTTAGAATGATCTTTCTTCTAGGCCGTGATTTTAGATCAGTCTTACACCAAGCAGTAGGTCCCCTCCTCCTCCCTCATAATTTGCCACAAGTTACCACTGGTCTTTAGAAACATTTATTAGAGCTAGTTGGCTGAGATTTGGTACTGTTTCTACTGGCAAGTAATCCGATTTTAGGAATATCTCTGCCAAGTTTCAGTTGTAGAAATTTTATTGTTCTTATTGTTTTGATTTTGAAAGCTATATAAGGTCCTTGAAACTTAGGTGGCTATCATCCTCAGTAAGCTGAAAGTGACTCAGAATAGATTTACTTAATGACTGAAGTTGAGTAGGCATGAAGTCCTTGTGTTTTTATTCGCTGTTGGCTCACATGGAAGAGTGTGTGGGTTAGGACCGGAGATTGTTATTGACAGACTCCGAATGTGCAGTGGGGCCCTGCACACTTCTCAGGTGTGCCTCTGTGAAAGCACTTGATGGTTCGGCCTGCTAAGCAAGAGAAGAATGGAGACTGCAAAATGCCAACGTATTTTAGAAGATATAAAAGAAACCAAAATAGTTAGCTTATTGGGAACTTATTTACTATTATCATTATTATTTCTCCATTAAACTAAACGGTGTTTTTCTTTTTCAGTCTTATGACAATGGGCTGGCACAGGGAGCAGGACTTGAATCTCATGGTAAGGCTTCTTTTGTTTTTTTGTTTTTTGTTTTTTGTTTTGTTTGTTTTATATTTTCCCAGTTTCTTTGAGACAGGGTTTCTCTGTAGCTTTGAAACTTGTCCTGGAACTAGCTCTTGTAGACCAGTCTGGGCTCGAACTCAGAGAAATCCACCTGCCTCTGCCTCCCGAGTGCCGGGATTAAAGGCGTGTGCCACCATTTCCCAGCTCATAGTAAGACTTCTTAAATGGTTGTGTAGTTTTCAGTAGCATGTGGTGTCTTCAGTACAATGTCTCAGACTGTCTGAATCCTTGCTGGACAATATCTGCCTTTGTCACTTTCCCACGTCTCTCTGACACTGTGGTACTTACCTGTTTAGAGCCTCTTAGATCTCTAATCTTAGGGGAGTAGTCAAGCTAGAGAAATTTCTAATAAAGTATTCAATGTTAGCTGCATCAGTAGATCTTGGTATTGTTTCTTAGGCTATTATTAGAAAACAGCAGGTTATTTTCTTTGGCATAGCAACTGATTGACTAAGCCAAAGAGATATATTGAACATGAAAAATTTCATTTACCTTCCATAATGTAATTACCCTTAGTGATGATCACAGGACATTTTTCTGTAGGACCAGTCTGCTCTCTCACATTCTCCCTCACTTTGGGCAGTACTGGAATAGTGAAATGGTAGCCATTAGGTTTGTTAGCACATCAAAAATATGTACCCTCTCAAATCAAAATCTCTATTCAGAAGTAATCAAGTTTCCATTCCTCTGTTTGAAGAGGCCCAGGTGCTGGGGACTCCGGATGAACTTGAGGTTTCTCATCACTGGGTGTGCTGTGCTGTGCTGTGCTCACTTGCTGCCTCTATCCCTCTGCTAGCATGGTTGGAGCAGGGGTTTGCATTGACACCACCATCTGTATGACTGTGCCTTCTAGATCTCCCTAAGGGTTTCCCCTTCAATAACACAGAAGTTTTGTCCTTCTGTATAGAAATTGTCTTGACTTTTCCTCTGACCCCCATTACAATATGACACCATAGTTCTAATATATGCCCGAGTTACACAGATAGGTGTACGGTAGCTGGTGATAGAGATACCAGGAAGACTCACTTCCCATGATGCATAAGAGCCAGTTCTGTTACACTGATTTGCAGAAAGAAAGCTCTGTTTCACAACTAGTCAGAAAGGAGGTCAGGAATTGTGACCTTTGTCTTCCCAGTCAGTGAGTACTGGACATTATAGGCAAGGAGCGGGCAGAGGCTGTTCATTGATGGATGATGGGAAGGGAAAGTTTCCCCAAACCTGTTTTTAGACATGCATGTCAACATACCTCTTTATAGGTCAAATGCTTCTTTGAAGTAGAGGGTGTTCTGTGTTGAGCGTTTGTATTTGTAAGTTAACATCAAAGACCAGTGACTGATAGCAGGCTTCTACACATTTCCATTCTTGAAAAATGACTTTGAAACTATCTGTGGTGAACTTCAGAGACTTACATTGTGAAACAACAAATAATTATTTGAGAAATTTCCATCCATGCGGTTGTATGAAAGGAGAATTCTAGAAGGATAGGCTCTGGTGCTTGCTGCTGTAGCACTCTGAGTAGACACTTCACTGACACAAAGAAATTGCAGTTATATTGTATGGTATCTGAAGGACTACCCAAACATGACACTTAATATTTGTGTGTGTGCCTGTATGATATGTATGTGTACTTAATGTGTAAGTATGGGCACATACGCGTGCCACATAATATATGGAGATCTGAAGACAGCCTCAGGTTAGGTCCTTGTTCCACCTTATTTGAGACAAGGTCTCAAAGGAGTAGAATGGAGAGCTGTGCTGGAGCAGCACCGCCTTAGCCCTCCAGTGCTCCTCACTCGGAGCTCGCTCGTGCCTGTGGACATCTAGGACTGTTACACAGGGAAACCCTGTCTCAAAAACATCTCTTGGGTAATAATACCTGCCCCATGTGAATACCATCTTACTGTAGTGGGTAGGGAGTGACAAGAGGAAAGTCTGTGTAGAAGCTGTTTGCTTTTCACATGGTTTGGATTCTCAGCTGCCTCCCTGAATGCTGAACCTGTGGGCATAAAGGAACTTAAAAACAGACTTGGGAGTTAATTCTGGTGTAAATTGTGTACTTTGATCCAAGTTCAGAAGTATAATGTTTCTGACAGCTTTAAGGTATTTTAAACTGTATTCTGTTTTGTCACTTGACATGGAGACTTCATTGTTTAGTGTTTTGAGTTTGTTACTAAATCTTATTTCACTGTCCTGTAGGCTGTCAGGACCATTCTGCCTCCCCCAATATCTTGTACTGCTTTCATGGGCCCGTAGAAATCTGAGCATAAATTTATCATTTGTGTTTTGATTATCATCAGGAGGCTCAACCTTTTGTGGCATTGCATCACTGTGCCTGATGGGTAAACTGGAAGAAGTTTTTTCAGAAAAAGAACTAAACAGGATAAAGAGGTGGTGTATAATGAGGCAGCAGAATGGATACCATGGAAGACCTAATAAGCCTGTTGACACCTGTTACTCCTTCTGGGTGGGAGCAACTCTAAAGGTAAGAGAAGCCGTGGGAGTGGGGCACCCAAGCCCTTGATATTTATACTCGCTTAAAACTTATGCAGGACTTGTTACATACCTGTAAGACCAGACACCTTAATAAAACCACCTAGGGCATGTAGAACAGGGATTGATCTGGAAGTCATATCCAGAAGCAGGAAGTTAATTTAAAAAGACAGTCGTAGAACATTCACTGGAAATCCATTTAAAATTTTTCTTTCTTTTTTATTTTTTGTTTTACCTAAAACCTCCAAAATTCACTGATTGGATTTGCTACATAAAGTCACTGAACTGTTACCCACTTGTTTGCGTCTTGAAATGCCTTCACCCTTAAGAACCACCCTTGTGCTGATGTTGTGACTATAACAGGACTTTGTGTTCATCTTGCTTGTAATGTCCTGTTTTTCCCCTCTTAAAAGTTGTGAGTGTGGTTGAAAGGAATGAAAAGAGACTGGTTTAAAATGAAGGCAATCACCTATCTGTTTACTTCTTATGCTGTTTTAAAAATACGTTTATACTTTTATTAGTCATGAAAATTTCAGACATACTTTAAATAGAGTGGATAGTGTAATGAACTCCCATGCATACATCAGTAGTGGTCATCCCAAAGCAGCTGTCCTTCACCCACTTCCTATCTACTCCTCCCAGCACTGTGTTGACTTCAAGACAGTCTTTTGTTTTGTTTCTGGAAATTCTTTAATTTTTTTTCTAAATGAAATAAGAGAACAACACCCTAGTATCACAATCCCACATATAAAAATGAGCCATAATTGCTTTCCACAGTAAGTATCACTTAGTGATGGTGGTGTTTCCTGTTGCATCTCACCCAGAAGCTCCCAATACCCAAACTCTCCTTTTGGTCAGAGGGCTCTGAGTTGTCAAGCTGGTTGCTCTGTTACAAAATTCTGTGAACTTTTCTTTCATTGTAGCAAACTATACGTAGTATGTTTAGCATTTTAACCATTTGTATATCATGCAGTAGTAATAATGATATCCATTATAATATATTAGCACCACTGACATTGTATACATGGCCTCCTGTCCTGTCAGGAGTCTCACTGTCCTCTCCCCCAGCCTCCTATAGTCACTGTTCTGTGCGCTGTCTTCATATGTCATTTCTGGGTGTCTTATCACATTGTTAGAATAACTGACAAAAGCAACTTAAGGGTGGAAAGGTTTGATTCGACTTAGAGTCCTGGGGGTTAGGGAGGGTCTGATCACATTTGTCCTCATTCGGGAAACAGAGCAGTACATGCTGATGCTGGTTAGCTTTCTCCTGTTTATGCAGTCTAAGATCTTAGCCTGGGCAAATAGCATGTCTTTATTTGAGAGGGTTCCCCAACTCAGTTAACCTAATCTTGAAAGTCCCTCACAGACACGCCCAGAGATTTGCCACAAGTTGGCATTGTAAGCCATCATACTCATCTAAGTACAATCATGCGATATTTGTTCTTCTGTTTCTTCCTTATTTCCCTTAGCGTAATGTTAGGACCCATCCATTTATATATAATTTTCCTTTTTATGTCAGAGTAATGTTCCTCTCCCTCTCTCCCTCTCCCTTCTTCCCCCCTCCACTTACTCTGTGTGTGTGTGTGTGATATTTTAGTAGGTATTTACTGAATCTGTAGGTAGCCTGGGTAGAAGTCGTATCTTGACAATATTAAGCCTTCTTGCTAATGAGCTTGGTAAGAAAATAAAAGATACCGTAGTTAGCTAATTTAAGTGCTCAAGTCCCCAGAGATTTGCTCTGAGAGTCTAAGCTAGAGAAAAGCCTATCCGAATAATCAGTAGCTGAAATATGAGCCAGAGATCAATAAGAAGTTTTTTGCCTGTTAATTTTTGTCATTTTGTTTTCAGCTTCTGAAAATTTTCCAGTATACTAACTTTGAAAAGAATAGGAATTACATCTTATCAACTCAAGATCGCCTGGTGGGAGGATTTGCCAAATGGCCAGACAGTCACCCAGGTAATTGCATTTGGCATGAATGTAAAGCAGTACGTGTTTTACTTTTGAGTAGACCTGGTAAGTGTATGTTTTTCAGAAATTGTATATGACAGAAAATATTGCCACAGTTGTGACATTTCAGTAAATAGTACATTTTGTAAAAGATTAATGTCTAAAGGCTGGTGAAATGGTTCACCTGCTGCCTGACCTGGTGACCTGGGTTCAATCCCCAGAGCCAACATGGTAGAAAGGGAGGACCAACCCATACACTGTCTTTTGACCTCTGCATGTGTACCTATAAACCTATTGTGTCCACACAGAATAAAAAATAAAGATATTTAAGACAGACTTAAGGTATGGGAAGTATAAAGGAAGGGCAAATTGTCAAGGTAATAATATAATATGCATCCCCCAACACTCCTAATACTCACAAATGTTTTATTTCATGTGTGAAAATAAGGAGTTACTTGGCTCATCATCACAGTTATTAGCTGTGACATTAGGATTATTAGTTGTGACTTGGACTGATGGTGTTCTAATATGCTTTTCTTTTGCTGTAATAAAACTTTGATCAAAAGCAGCTTGAATCTGTAGATTGCTGTTGGTGAGATTGCATTATATTGATCCTACCTATCCAAGAACATGGGAGGTCTTTGCATTTTCTGATATCTTCTTCGGTTTCTTTCTTCAGACTTAAAAGTTCTTGTCGTACAGGTCTTTCACTTCTTTGGTTAGTGATATTTTATGTTATTTGTGGCTATTGTAAAGGGTGATGTTGCTCTGATTTCTTTCTTGGCCCTTTTATCATTTGTAGGAGGGCTATTGGTTTTTTTTGAGTTGATATTGTATCCTGCCACATTATTTAAGGTGTTTATCAGCTGTAGGTGTTCCCTGGTAGAATTTTGGGAGTCACTATATATACTATCATATCATCTGCAAACAGTGAAAGTTTGACTTCTTTCTTTCCAATTTGTACCCCCTTGATCTCCTTTTGTTGTCTTATTGCTCTAGCTAGAACTTCAAGTGCTATGTTGAATAGATATGAAGAGAGTGAACAGCCTTGTCTTATTCCTGATTTTAGTGGAATCACTTTGAATTTCTCTTCATTTAATTTGATGTTGGCCGTTGACTTGCTGTGTGATTTTGAGACAGGATCTTACTCTGTGGCCCAGGTTACTCTTGCGCCCACTGTATAGCCAGAGATGATCTTGAGTCTCAGCCATCCTGCCTTTGCCATCCCAGTGCTGGCCTCAAGGTGTGGACTACCACCGAGCCTGGCTTTCAAGTTCTATGTTTTGAAGGAAATTCCTGAAACTTTTCTAGAGAGATCAGTTGGTGAGTCTTGTGTTTATATTCACATGTGTGCTTGTTGACGACTTAGAGACATGTGTCCCTGCAGCCTGCACACCTCACGCAGACGGTCTGAGGGGCAAGGCCCACCTGCTCAGGGAGCCTTTAGGAGAGCTGTCCAAACAACAATGTTCCAAAAGAGCGCCTTAACTTGACTTTAGTAAGATTTGTAGCAGATTTGCACCAGGACCTTTATTATTTTTGTGGAGAATACTTTTGTCTTATTAAATGAAGTATATCACTGTCCACAGATGAGGGGTTTGGTTGTTGGGTTGTTTGGGGAGTTTTGTTTTAATGATTTGAAGTTTGAAATTAAGTTCTGATTTCTGACTTTTACAAAACTTCTTTTGAGGAAAAAATATGGAGAGATTTAGATTTTATACAAGATCCAATTTATATTATTCTCAATTTGTATTATGCTCCTTACTATTCACCTTTTTCTTTTAACCTTTATCTGTATGGAATATTTGCCTGTATTAATGGCTGTGCACCGCATGCATGCAGGTGCCAGAAAAGGGCTCAGAGCCCCTGGAATTGAAGGCAGAGATGGCCGAGCTGTGGTGCTGCGACTGAGCGATCAACCAGTGCTCTTGAACTGCTGAGCTCTATCTCTCTATCTCTTCTTTTTACCTTTTCTTTTTCCTTAAAAATTTTCTAATTTCTAAATAAAGTTTAATAGTGCTTTGTTTGCCTTGTAATTTTAAAGTAACTATCAGGAATAGGGATATTTTTATTTTTTACTCTGAAAATTAGGGGAAAGTGAGCCATTTAGCTTGTGACAGTTAGACCTGGTAAGGTATTCTGAACTTTAATAGCTCTTAGGATCTCAAATGCTGGCCATTTCAAAAATAGAAAAGTATTCTTGGTTGCTATGAAACTTTTTTTGTAGTGTTCCTGTAACTGCAGAGTTCTGAGCACTTCTGAAATCTATATAAGGTTCTCAGGCAGGCAGAGGCCATGTGTTTTCATGACTGCTCATCAGAGGGTTGTGGCTCCCTGGAAATGGGGGACTAGTGAGGCTAAAGGGAGTTTGTGTATACTGTCAGGGCAGAAACGGCATAGCTCTCCTGTGTACTGCCTGCTCCATGTACTGCACACAGTGCTGGTGTATGCTTCAGATATGTTGGGACAAAACTTGGGTGAAAGGGCAGGTGTTGCTGCCTCATTTCAAAGGCTGTTAGGTTTTCATTTTTAGAAAACTTTCTAGGGTTCTGGCTACAGTTTGGTGGTGAAGGGTGTCCTGGGTGCACTTAGCACCATGAAAACCAAATTGAAAATGAAAAATTTCTTTTATACTATAAATTTTTTTCTCTATATTTTTAGGCAGCAGGAGGCATTGCTACTCTGATCCTTAGAGAACATAGGCAAGAAAATCACGTGATGTGTTCCTCTAACAGTAATTTCAGTAATACAATACATGGTTTTGATTCACTTTTTAAAATGGTGCTTGAAATTGAGACTAATGCTTTCAAAAACTAGCATTTTTCTAATTTTTTTTATGTAGTAATTGGCTGTAGATGCTTTGCAGTGTGTTCAAGTGAGAATGCTGATCATGAAATGCCTTTTCAGACGCTTTGCATGCATACTTCGGGATCTGCGGCCTGTCACTAATGGAGGAGAGTGGAATCTGTAAGGTTCATCCTGCTCTGAATGTAAGCACACGAACTTCTGAGCGCCTTCAAGATCTCCATCAAAGCTGGAAGACCAAGGACTCTAAAGAGTGCTCAGAGAATGTCCATATTTCCACTTGACTGACCCTGGGTCATGGGTTTGTAGCATAACTGTAGCTCAAGGTTAAAAGCCATGTGTAACCAAGTGTGCTCTTTTTTAAGGGGTAGTCTTAAGTCAAAGCTTGTACTGCTAAGAGTGCAGGATGTGGTCTTGATCCAGTAACTACTGTACTGGGTTTCAAGACCTCCGCAGGACTCTGTTGTGGCTCTTAAGTGTTTATACTGTGTTTCTGAGAAGTATCTTGGGGGAGATCTGCTATATGTATGTATGTGTGTTATCTTCTTAAAACCCTTCAGTACAAGTTCTGACTTACAAAATGGACATAAATCTTCAAGTTTACACTTCATATGGCATTGATAATCTTGAGGTGAGCATTTAGTGATCACTTAAAAATGTCTACTGCTGATGGTAAGAAATTTGCTTTATTCAATTAAGTATCTGGATTATTCTTTAAAAATTGATGCTCTTATAATTTTCTTCAAGAATAACATATTTTGTGTTATTCTTAAGATGTGCCAACTAGACTTGTGTAACCTAAATGGATGAAATTAAAAGTTCATAGTAAGGAAAAAATAGGCTTAACTAATACTATAGTTTTCTACGGAGAGAGTACTACATAACTGAGGGAGAAGTGATTGAACTGTGAAATTATGAATGAGAAGGTTCTGTGTTGTGTGTCTTTGTTAGACGTTCCTTGGATGAGTACCTGTTCTGTTTTGTTTTAATCCCAAATCACTGGCTACTTTTTCTCTGGGGCAAGGGAGGAAATAATCTTGGCTATTTAGAAACAAAGTCATTCGATGTTCTATTCTTCTGAGGTTCATGACACTGTAAATTATACTTGTATAGTTCTTTTTAGTTGCTTGGCTGTTTTATTTTCTTCTTTTCTTTTTCAGTATGTTATAGCCACAATAGTTAGCTGTTTTATCTCTCATTTACCAGGTTGAGCATCTTTAATCCAAAATTCAATATCTGGCCAGGTATAGTGAGGCATATGCCTTTAACTCAGCACTCAGGAGGCAGAGGCAAGCAGAACTCTCTGAGTTCAAGGGCAGCTAGTACTATATAGTGAGACCTTGTCGTCCCCCGCCCCCCAGAAAAAAACAGCAGCAACAAAAATAATAAAAATCCATTATCTGAAATGGTCCAGAATCTAAATTTTTTGACTGTCAGTGTGACTCAGTTGGAAAATTCCACCACTTCATACAGCAGGTCTCAGATGAATTTCAGGGACACGGTAAATAGTGTGTAAAGCTGCTTGAAACTACTGAGTAAAAGGTATGAAATAAATGCATTCTGTGGTCAGGCGCGGATCCCATCCGCAAGGTAAAGTGTATATGTAAGTGGTCCAAAATCTGAAAACAGAATCTAAAATCTGAAACATTACTTTTAGTTCCATGCATTCTGGATAATGATACTCAGCCTGGAAATGATTTTCTAATGTTTTTAAGTTTGATAAGTTTTTAACTACAAACAGAACCACGGAAGTATACATAATCATTTCTATTTTTCTATTTTTGACTAAGTAGGAAGAAAATATATCCATCTAGAGGGGATAAACTATGGTTTCCCTTATTCATTGTCTTAATTCTGTGAACTAACAGCCAAAAGAAGTTGGTGTAAAATTTTTCGTTAGCAATCAGCTCGTCATTTAATCACATCCATGACTTGGTGACAAGAGGGAAATTTCTTCACTAGAGGAAATGGATGTGTTGGTCTTGCTAATAATAAAAGTTATATCATTAATCTACAGACATCATTGTAAACGCTAAATTATTAGTGTTTCTGGGTAGATAATAACATCTTCATTATTAACTAAAGAGACATTTCCTAAATAAAAATATTTCTAAAGGGAAACCTGGCATATGATTAAAAATAATACATCACTTATTGGCATGCTTACTTTTAGAATTGAGTTTGCAAAGTTCATTAAAACAGTGTTGGGAGTCTATCTCATGGCCCTGATTCCCTGGCTTTGATCCTTGACCCCAAAACTAACAAACCAACCAAATCCTCTTTATAAATCAGTCTTCCAGTGGTGGAGAGAAAAGCTTTACCAACAAACGTTATCATCCCATGAATTGTTCCAGTTGTTTCTGTTTAAATCCAAGCAAATAACAGCAATCCTGTCTCAAACTGAGTTATCTCTTAGACGTTAAGAACTGAAACAGCGGTATGGAAATGCTCTAGGTGTACAGCAGAAGCCAATGTTTTCCCTGAGTTACTGTCAGTTATAGAAGGTAAGAAAATTGGTTATTAATAAGTAGAAGATTTATAACATAAAAGTAATTTATATTTTCAAACTCCTTGAGTAATTTATTGGCAAAGGAATATTAATGGCAGAATAATTCTAATATACTCTAAGAGGCAAGGTTCTATGTGATACTTTATGGACCAGTGAATGTTCGTGTTTCATAGAAACATATCAACCAAAAAGTGTTGAGTTGTTTTGAAGTACGGAAAAACTATTTCTAGCTTTTCCTAAATAGTTGTGTCTAAGAAAATATTTATTAATAAAGTAAATTCCAAGCACTGTTTTACATAGAATCTGTTCTCTAGCAGTAGTGGCGGTAAGAGGAGAAACATGAAGTGTAGCCGTGCAGCACCGCTCCCTCCCAGCCAGCCTCTCTCCATTTCCTCTTAGTGTGCTCTCCAAGAGTAATAGCAAGAAACATTTATTTATCGCCTACAGTTTTAGGTTTGACCTGTAATACTTGTTTTTATTAGATTTTTAAATAGGTATTTTTAAATAATAAAGTTCAAATATAAATTTTGCTGACAGTGGTGATAATTTGAAGTGTCGGACCTGATAGTATTTGGTAAACAGAGTGATGAGGAGGTTGTCTGAAGCAGGGTGGCTTGAGCTCACATATCTGCCCGTGAGCTGCATAATCTTAGACCCAATTTTCCCTATTGGCAAAATGAAGTAAACATTAGAATAATTTCACTAGGCAGATTCAGGATTAAATGAGATAGTATATTAAAAGCACTTTTTCTAATTATAATTTCATATGACCATAAAAGTGTTTTTAAAAATCTCTTATACAGTAGAAATTTTAACAGGGTTTAAACTGAAGGAAGATGCTGCCAAGTGAGTAGCTTTTTAACTTTCCCAATCTGTAACAGAAGGAATATCAAGTACAGCCACAGTCATTGCAAAACTAGGTGACAGGTGGTACCAACCTGAACTTCAGCATACAAGTGAAAGAACAAATGTGACCTGCGTGGTTTGGGCCAGCATAGTTTCACCTCTACAGAGGATCGAGGAGGGAAACAGCCTGGTTCTGAAGCCCTGCAAATCAGAGAACTATGGTATTGCCATGTTCTCATCGCAGAGGGCAGTGGGCAATCTGAAAATGAAGGCTGAAACTTGACAGAGTTGTACAGATTCCTGCCAGTGTGGGACAGTGGGAGGTATGTTGATCATAGTAGATAGAACAGTCTGGCCTGATCTGTATACTATTTGAAGTTAAGGAAAGCACAGCACTATGAAGAAACTAGTAGAATTAGAATCCAAACTGGACAGGCTAGGCATGAGACATAAAGGAGAGATAGCAAAAATAAGTATTGGAAGGAAAGGCCCGTAGACACAGATGCATAAATATTAACATGCACAATCACTTAAATCACAGAAAGAGGAAGGGTGCTGAGAAGATGGAGCCACTTTGGAGCCACTTTCTAGAGCAACTCTTCCTTCTGAACAACAATTTAACTTAAGAAAAAAAAAAATCCAGTTCCCAGAATTAGAGTGAAACAGACCAAAGCCCATGAAACCTAACACTAGGCCATGACAGCAGCCTATAGTGTTTGCAATGACACACATTGTCTCAGAACTGGAGCAAGGAAGGGAGCAGAGAATATGTATAGCTCAATAAAAACTTAAAAAAAGAGTTAGAGCAAGGAGCAAAACGAAACCAAGTAGAGGAAGGAAACAAAACAATAATGCAAAAGCCAGTTAGTCTTAAGTCAAGAAATGCAAAGGCTCCTTTGGCATGGCAGGAATCCTCAGGGAAGTGACCCATCAGCTAACCTCTTTAAGACACGGAGGAGGAGCAAGCAGGAAAACATAAGTGACAAAGGGAAGGGCCACTAAACACAACTGATTGCCAGTTGTCTTAGGAATCTCACACAAATTCAAAGGAAGTTTTTAGTGAAAAATGCAAATTGATAAAATTTAATGCAGAGAATACAGCTACCATAGGAAAATGCAAATAAAAGATCATTGTACAGTCTTGTAAGACTGAAGAATCTCAACATTGCTTTAATAATTCCAGAGGCCAGAAAAAGGATCTTGAATCTCAAATTGCTACATAAAAGGAAAATTTTCTCGTGTTTACTTTGTAAAGTTGGTGTAATGGTATTAATTTAAAAACACAACAAAAATTATGGCAAAAAAGCAAATTCTGGGCCATTCAGACTTGCTAGTATCTTCACAGACTGGGGCTATAGCTCTTTTGGTAGTGTTTGCCACTCAGTCACAAAGACCTGAGCTTGATCCCCAGCGCCCAAGGCAAAAGCCAAGCTTGATATTGAGCACTGGTTTCCAGCGCTGAGAAAGCAGAAACAGGCGGATGGCTGGAGCCTGTCAGCTAGCCAGCCCGGCCTAATCGATGCGCCCCAAATCCCCCGACAACCCTTCTGGAAATAAGGTGAGGCAGGGGAGCTCTTTCAGTTGGTAAAGGCTTTTGCTACACAAGCCTGGCAACCAAATTCGATTTCCTAGAATCCATGTAAAGGTGGAAGGAGAAAACCAACTTCACAGAGTTGTCCTATGACCTCGTGCATGTCATGACATGTATGCCCACACACACTAATAATAATGCATCTTAAAACCTTACGTGACAAGCTGAAGAGCAACTGAGGTTGACCTCAGGCCTCCACACGCCTGCAAACACAAACATAAGTATCAGTACAAATTATTCAGTGTTTGGTTAGACCCACAACCCAGGAGCACTTGAAAGGGAATAAAACCATGCCTCAATTGAGGTCATATTAGGAATGCAGGATAATTCAGCTTTCGAAAATCTTAATATAGTGTTAAAGAAAAGACATTTGATTTAGAATTAAGCCCTCGTATCAGAAACTGATAAATTCCCGAACATTGCACCTCTACCCTGGAGGCAAGCATTCTACTGTTGAATCCAAAGAGCCTTTCTGATGAAGCCAGAACAAGACTCTGCTTGCTGTGTTCTTTACTACTTAATACCACACGAGAACTTTTAGCCAAGGAAGATTGGAACAAAGATGTCAGTCAGGAAGAGTTCAAACTTGGCAAATAGGATCATCTACTTGAAAAACTCCAAGGAATTTGTTGAGACACCAAACCATAAGAGAACCTAAGTAGCAGCGGTAGTGAGCGTGCAAGCAGCGCGAGGACTGCGTTTTCACAGTTCCACAAGGTGGAGTCCACTGTTGTCAGAAATCACCGTCTTCCAGCTAGGTCCGCTGTTGTGAGCTTTCCATAAGTGCGACTGTATGGTGTATGCTGTGTCTTACTTGGCTTCTTTGCCCTAGAAGAGAATACAAGGGCTCTCTGGTGCTGATTACATAGGTGCATTCATTTTATGAATATTTACCAAGCTGTACCATCCATCATGCTTTGTGCACTGTTCTATATATGTAAATACAACTCAATAAAAATGTTTAGTTAAAAAAAAGACTACATAGCTATATCTGCATAAACCCAAGCCGTTTGGACGACACACCTCTAGATCTCTGTCTGTGATTACTAAACCAGAGAGACTCATGTGTGAATTCAATCAGACACATTTAAAACACCTCCATGAGAAAATCCTGCTTGGAAAAAGAAAACTGTTGGAAGACAACAGACTCGAACAAGTGTGTGCCTTAATGTTAATAGGAAGACAGCATCAAAACAGTTTTCTTGGGTTAGTTTGTAAATTTAATGCCGCTGCCATAAATACTATGCTTACTGAATGAGAGAACGTATTAGACTATCCATTAAAACTGAGAAAGTGAGAAGAAACCAGCCTTGCCAGACACAGAGGGTGTTGGCAAAGACTATCAGAATTGAATATGTACACATTTTGCTCAGGCAATTCCATGTCTACACGTTTATAGTAAGCACACAAATAGATGATGTACTTTAAGGATCTTCCAGTGTATTTGTAAGTCATAGGAGAAAAGACACTGTTTATGATACATTCGTACAGTGTGACATTTATACAGATGTTAAGGCACACGATGATGTTTGTGATATGTTGCTAAGTGAACCAAAAGTTTGGTATTAAAAATAGTTCTGTAAACAAGGGAAATGAAATGTTAGAATAGTCCCAGCAGCACATTAGAGTAAAGACACCATCTGAAATCAGTGAGAAAGGGAACTTTTAACTAAGTACCTGCTTACCTAAGTAGCTGTGTAATTGTTCACATATTCACACATTCTTGAAGAGAATAGCTTCTTCTGTCTCAAACCTCTGCATGTGCACTATACACCAAGATACTGTATATTCTGTATTGTAAATTTCAGTCATTCTGTGATACGATGTCTCAATATGTGGATTTTAACAGTTGAGTATTGCCTAAGTTGTCGTTATTTGTGACAAATCTGTTGCTGTAAGGTTCTTGAGAATGTATTTTCACATTACCTATTTGTTCCTTTTAGGTAAGTTTGTGAATATGAAATTGCTGGGCTAAACTTTTGCACATTCTAAATTCTGGTAGCTCTTGGCAAGATGCTGCCTAAGAAAGCAATACTTCCACAGCTTCTGCGAAAATAGTCCGCTGTTTAGTTTCTCTGTGGCATTGGGAAAGACTGGTGGCTTAGTTCCTTGTCCTCATCTTGCACCTTTATCTAATAATGACTGGCGTTAGGTCTGTATTCCCAGTAATGGTGCCAGCACTAGAGCGCGTGCCTTCCATGTGTTCTTTCTTAACTGGGGTGTTCATCCTCCACCCGGTGGTCTCTGTCCACATCTTCCCTAATGTTCTGCTAACTTTTCTTTAAAGCTCTACTTGAATTAAGGGCTGTTGTTAAAAGCAGATATGGGATTTTTCTGAAGTAATTGAAGATAATAGTCTGTGCGTACGTGGTGTCTTCCTTTGGGAAGGTAGTATATGGTTCTGTAGAACTATTTAATACAAAATGCAGGTTTTTGTTTTTTTTTTTTTTAAGTGTGTGTAAAGGCTAGGGATGTAGGTCTGCAGTAAAGCCTGTGCTTAGCATGCACCAGGCTCTGGATCCCGTCCTCAGCACCACCATCAAACAGAAATACTATGTGGATACATGGAAGCCACGTGAAACTGAAACACACGTGAAAGGTTTTTTGATGGCTAAGATTCATGGCTGGTCTTCCTCCTCATTTCATCCTTTTTGAACATGTCAGGGGAATTTGGTAGACTGTCTTCTCTAAGGAAACAGTGCCTGAGATAGTCAGTTTGATCAGTGCACTAGAGTAGCTTTCTAGAACATTAAAAGAAGTTTATCTTGTAGTTTAAATTTCAGCAGTTGGGTACCACAGTAGGCTATCCACAGAGGCCGTTTTGTTGCAGGTTTTTAACTGAATGTGTTATGAAAACT